GTCTGTGTTTAGAATGCAAGTTTTTTTTTTTTTTTTTTTTTTTGAGTTGGGTACTGAGTGACTGGTGATGGAGGGAAAAGAAACAAATGTCGTCTTAGAGAAGACCGGGGTGCGGCCAGCAGGCGTCTCCAACCCCAGCTGCCGACGGGGGCTGTTCTCAGCGAAGCCTAAGGTCGTTCTCCTGCCCCTTCTGGCCAGGTGTGTGCTGGCCGGGGGCTGGTGGGCGGCCTTCTCGGCACCCTTAAGGGACACTGAGAAGCACGGTGTCACTGTGCAGCCGGCAGCGAGCCGAGGCTGCCACTCCAGAACCTTCTTGCAGTTTCACTCAATGAAGGACGGCAGGGCAGGGGCTCTGTCGCACGCGCACCCCGGGTGCACAACACACTGGGACACGCTAAACACCACAGAGACGGCTGAGACAGGCACACGCACGGAGCAGACCACAGCTTCTACAACACACTCGGCCACCAGGGTGGTGCTGCCACTCCCGCGCCCCGGCCGGACCCAGGAAGGGCTGCTGGAGCCAGCAGGACTCGAACTCCCCACAGTCACAGTCTTCCCATGGACCAGAGCACAGCGAGGTCACAGCTCAGCAGACCCTGCAGGGTGAGCGCAGCCTGGTCGGCGGAGCCCACAGCTCTGCACAGCCTCTGGGACCACACGGCTGCCGTGGCAGGGCCAGCGTGCTGCTCAGCACCCGGTCCCCCAGGGGAGACAGGACAGGGGCCGCAGCCTCGTCTACCCCTTCCCAAGGCTCCTCACCATTCCCCTGACATGGGGCTATCGAGGCAAAGGTGCAGCTGCCCCAACTCCTGGAGGCTCGTTACCTCATTCTGCCTGAGACAGGGGAAGGGAGACCCCCAGCACCTCACTCAACCCAGCAGGTGATGAGGGGGTGGCTCTTTGGGTTATTCTGGACTCCGGACACCACAGTGCCTGCTGGTCAGCAGCTGGTGGGACGCCAGGACGCCCTGCAGCCCTGGGCCCTCCTGGAGGAGGTGCTCTGGCCCGTGATGAATGGGGGCATTTCTGACCCCGTGTCCTTCTCACCATGATGCCTGGACGCCCGTGTAGGGCGTCTGACCACAGTCGGAGAACTCCCTGTCCGTATAAACGCAGTCGGAGAACTCTGTGTATAAACGCCAGCGTGACACGACAGAATGCAGACTCAGTGAGCCCGCAGGCTTCGGCAAGGTGGTGTGAGGCGAGTGGACTCTTTTGGTTTTGCTGGGGAGAGAAGGGCGCAGGATGAGGTTGGCACAGCGAGGCTTCGAGAGCCCCCCAGGGTGAGGGGAACACGGGCGGCGGCACAGGCCCGCCCTCCCACCGGAACCAGGGGGCGCAGGACTGCCCGGGCTTGTCCTGCAGGCTGCTACAACCGCGTGGACGTCAGTCTCTTCATGCCTCTGCGCTGGGCCAGGCTGGACGACAGCACGGGCTCCAGCCGTGGGGCCTGAGGTGTTCTGTTCAGAGCGAAGTAGGTGGCGGCCATGGCTCCCTGCAAGACCAGGGGAGCAGAGTGGGCGCCCTGCCAGCCCAGGCGTGGGGGGCACGGGACACGCTCGGCTGCAGGCGGTGCGCCTCCCTCCAGGTACTGAGCAGGGTCCCAGCTTAGCCAGGCTCACTTCCTAGTCCGTGTCCACCCACCACACCTCCTGCCTCACACTGTGCTGCACCCCCTGGGGTGGGGTCAGGGGCCAGGTCTGCTTGGGGTTGCTGGGTCACAGGAGCAGTGACCCTTGGCGCAGCCCTCCTGGGTGGTCTGGGCTATCCTGAAGTAGGTCCGACACCTGGGGGGTGGGGGCCGTCCTTTGGGGACTCCAGGTGGTGCCTGCGGGGCTGGTGACACTTCCCGGAGGACCGCCCGGAACCCGTGCGACCCAAGAGAGGACGGTGCTTAGGCCACGTCTCCTGCAAGGCAGGGAGTGTGCGGTCCGCCACTGCAAGTGCGCACGCGAGGTTCATGTGGGACTGCCGTGTGGGACGGAACGTGGGCTCACGCCTGCCACGGGTGCCTTTGCGGTGTGTCAGGTCAGCTGTGGGGCGGACCCACCCTCGCCCTGCGGGGACCGCTGGGCCGCACCTTCACGAGGTGGACGTCTTGTCTGCTGAGCTGGGTCTGTGACAGGTACTCTCTGTTGACGACCCACGGGTGTTTGAGCACTTGGACGGCCGTCAGGCGCTGGTGCGGGTCCATGTGCAGCATCTTGGACACGATGTCCTGCCAGGGAAGGAGCGGGCTGGAAGGTCACTGTGCTGTTTGAGGCCCCCGGGCCCGGGGAGAGGCGGGGGGGTTGTCGCTGTGTCACTCAGAGTCCCCCTGGCAAAGTTCCTACCTCCCTCTTATGACAAAACCCAACACTGTCCTGAGTGACAGTTTAAAACTTGGGGACAAAAGGCCATTGTGAGGTTTATAAGCCTGAGACTGATTTGTCAGTGTTAACTGTCAACAACCTCCATTCAGAGAAGGCTGATCACTTATAAAGACCTGTGTCTACAGAAAACTAAACACGGAAACGTCATGCGATGCGTGCCTTGGTCTGTGTCAGACAGCTAAACAGAAATACCTGAGACTCGGTGGTTTATACAGTAGAGGTTTATGGCTCAGATTTGGGGGCCGAGAAGTCCCAGGGCATAGGCTGGCTTCGGCCTCTGCCACATCACAGAGAAAGGCAGAAAGAGCCTCGAATGTGTGCAGGGAGAGACCGGGGCACGTGCAGAGAGACCAGAGAGAGACCAGAGAGAGACCGGGGCACATGCAGACAGAGACCAGGAGAGACCCGGGCACGTGCAGAGAGAGACCAGAGAGAGACCGGGGCACGTGCAGAGAGAGACCAGAGAGACCGGGGCACATGCAGAGAGAGAACAGAGAGAGACCGAGGCACATGCAGAGAGAGACCAGGAGAGACCCGGGCATGTGCAAAGAGAGACCAGGAGAGGCCGGGGCACATGCAGAGAGAGAACAGAGAGACCCGGGCACGTGCAGAGAGACCAGAGAGAGACCGGGGCACGTGCAGAGAGAGACCAGGAGAGACCCGGGCATGTGCAAAGAGAGACCAGGAGAGGCCGGGGCACATGCAGAGAGAGAACAGAGAGACCCGGGCACGTGCAGAGAGACCAGAGAGAGACCGGGGCACGTGCAGAGAGAGACCAGGAGAGACCCGGGCATGTGCAGAGAGACCTGGGGCAACTGTTCCTTTGCCACCTCCTGGCTCGAGTGGGAGTGAAGCCGTTCCCGTGAGAGCTCTATCTTAAAGGCAGCTCTAAGCTGGTCACGAGGGTGCTGCCTCCACAGCTGAACGCCGTGCACCAGGCCTCGCCCTGAAGGTCTCATCACCTCCCTGCACCATTACACGGAGGACCAGACCCCAAACATGAGTCTTTGGGGGATAAACTTGGCCCGACCACAGCAGTGCATATGTAATTGCCGAAGCTATTTCAGTAAAAACGCTAACCTTCCCGAGCACGAACTTGACGTGGCACATCAGCAGCTCGGGTAGAAACCGACCCCTGAGAATGCATGTGGCTGCCTTTCTCAGCGCTGCCATGAGACGTCTGCTGCAGGGCACCCCTGGACCTACGAAGGCGGCCGC